TCCCTGCAATCTCTCCTTTCCCACACACTATTTGGCCTCTGGATGGAAACCTACCATTGCTCTAAATTGGGTTGGTTTTATTCTGGTTGTTTCTTTCTTTAACATTTATGAACCAACAACTAAAAGTAAGCAAGCTGTTGCAGAGTACCCCACAGGAGAAGATGCCTGCTTAGATGCTAAAGTGTGATTGAGAAATAGTGAGTTTGAAGGAGAAAGTGACAGTTTACAGATTCAAAGCTCTGTGTAACTTCTGCTATTGCACACAGCACCTTTGAATCTGAGTAGGGAGGTGTTCCCCACTATTGGAAGACAAAAGACCTTTTAATTCTGTTGTATTGCACGTGGGAAAACTGCTTTTCCTTCCCTTGTTTTACATATATGCTTGTTGGTTTAGATGAAAGCTGATGCCAGTTGTGCTACTATGAAGAGAAAGTTGAAACCCCACAAACAGCAGGTGTAGAACGTAGCCAAAGCCCAAATGAGTTTCTCTTTCACAAGGGGAGATTTGATTCTGCAAGACAAGAAATAGACCTGACCCAACATTTCCAGTACAAAAAGAGTCTCTTGGAATCATTCACATTTCCTGGACGCCAGTGAAAACAAGCCACATTTGAGCAGCAGCCCAGAGCTGTCTTGTGGGGGATTTGGATATTAACTTAAAGGTGTCTGTCCATGCTTATTGACAACTGAGAGTAGATTCAGCCTTGTCTGCTATTAAAGCAGCCAAGCAGCAGCTACCTCTTCAGCCAAGGTAAGACAGTACCACTTGCTGAACAAGCTTTTCCTTACTGAAATGCAACCACGGCATGGTGCTAAAATAATTGATGCCTTTATGTGTTTTACTAGCAGCAACAATTCAGAAATTAAAAGAGCAAATGTGAATGAATATGTGTGGCAGTCCGACACACTAATGGGTTTTCATCCCCTGCTCAAGTGAATGGGCTGAGGAGAGGCCTAAAAGCATGTCTGTGAAAGTGCCACCTCATTAGACTCCAGCTTAGTAAAACAGCACTTCAGTTACAGCACACAAAGGCTGGCCTGTGTGCACGTGTGCTGCTTGATTTCATTGGCATTGAAAACGGAAAACAATACTCCAAAAGTACCTGGACCAACACCAGGGCTTAATATTTCCAGGATGTACACAATAGCATGCCTCTGAACATGGCCTGTATTAATGGTCTGAAAAATGTGGGTGTTTAGTTACTGACCACAGAGCGTTAGCAACGTGCAGGAATGTAGCTCAGTGTGTTTCTTGGGTGTAGAGGGGAGAATCTGCAGCCCAGACTTTGGAGCACATCAGCTGCGCAAAGGGATGCAGGACCCCAGCCCTCTGTGCACGTGCAGGTTTTGGCTTAGGCAAAACTCCTCTGTTTGAGGAAGCCTTTCTCGGACAGGGAGCATTGCTCTGTAAAGCAGGAAAGGCTCACAGGCAGCTCAGGCAGTCTGCTTGGCAAGGCAGCTCTTATTCACATATCCAATTCAATATCTTGTTCTAACATCCAGGCCTCAGTCCTGAAAGGAAAACAGTCCTCAGAGCCAAGGAGAGACAGAGGCACGTTGAACAGCCTGTGTTTTCTCTGGGAGGTAAGGATGGCAAAGGGCCCGTGCCTTGTGGGTCCTCAGTGAAAGCACACAGGGAGAGCAGCCAGTGTTAAAGGGTCTGTTGCCCTTCAGAACAGAATCAGTTGGCCTCTTCCACAGGCATGAAGGAAGAAGCTAAGCCAAGCTCAGGTAGCAGCAGTAATCCAAGCGGCAAGAGGTCATGCAGTTTGTCTGTGGCAGAAAACAAGAGCTCAGTATGGAGCACAGCTTTCAGGAACCATAGTGGGATGCACACAGAGAACCCCTCTCCACTGCACAGGGAAACAGGTCTGGCTCAAAATGATGCAGCACAATTGCGGGCAGGTATTTGTGTGGTCACTCGGGGTACCTGCATCCTAAGAGCATCACTGGTGACCTGCTTTCTTGAGTATGGAGGGGACAGGGCATGCAACTGGGGGTAGGTGCACCTCAACAGTGGAGGCCTGGTTACAGCATTGGGAAATCAGCTGGAAAATGCCACCCTGCAGATGCGAAGATGTGTGAAGAGCATAGCTGGATTCTCTGTACTTTAGAGGACATCATGATGAGGATCCAGGTGATGGCAAGTACGTGGAGATGCATTTTAAAACTTGAGTGGGAAAAAAGGAAAGCTGAATGAGCTTTTGTAACCTACAGGCACCCTGTAATGGCAGCTAGGGAAGTCTTGCCTTGCTGAAGATTTCTGTGTGTGGGAAGAATGCCTACATCTATTAAATTCAGCATTTTAACATTGGTATATATTATCCTGTAGGGCTCCCCTGCAAATCATTCTTGGTCCCATACCAGGCAGAGGCTGCTCTGTGGGAACAGCAGCGTAAAGGGTGCTCACTTCATTTCCCTGCTCTTACATCTAGCACTTGTGCATGAGGGGCTTGCACTGCTCTTCCTTGGGTATTGCAAAGCTCTGGTGGTCTTGATGTTGGGATGGATGTGTAGGAGCAGTTGACACAGGGCTGGGTATAAGGTGGCTCCTTGCTGTGCAAGGAATAAGCTTTGCTGGTGCTCAGCAGCACAATAAAGAGGGTGCTTGCACAGACGTGAGCTGATGCGATTGTGGATGCCAGAGGAAGCTGTCACAGGGAGGCTTTGTGGTCCCCCTCCCATAGCCTGGCTCAGGGACCGTAAAAGTGAAGATTAGCAGGGGCAGGGTGCTGAAGTTATTTTTACCTCCTTGTCCTGTTGTGCCTGTACAAAAGTACCAGCCTTTTTTCTTTTCTTTTCCCTTTTTTCCTCCCAATTTCTTCCCTGTGAGGCTTAACTGGGTGGGTTGCCATAGCAACCCCTGCATGATAACTTAGGCTGCTCCTTGCAGCGTTCAAGATTTCTCTCTCAGTGTTCAGTCCCCCGAGTGTCAAAATGGTTTCGCACTTCACAGCGTGCCAAGCATCCTGCACCCCGAGCACTGTGCCCATCCTCCAGCCTGGTCACTTGAGGCATCAGGGCTGTGTTGGAGCATGAAGGAGAAAGTTGCACAGCCTTAGTTTGAAGGAATATGTGCTCTCCATCTCTTTCACAGCACACAAGGCTGAAAATTGACACAGGCTTCCCACGTGGCATCCCGTTTATTGCAAGTTTTCCTCAAGAGGGCTGGGCAGTGTTTGCTGCCTGTTGAAAATGGGCACATGGAGATGCTGGAATGGTTCCCAGCTTAGCCCACATTATAGCAAGAATGAAAGTATCTTCTCCTTTCATTCCAAACCCATGCAGTATCCCTGAATAAGTCCAGAGAAGTTCTCATTAAAACCCAACACAGATTCTGGACTGACTGCAAGTTAAATCACCATTGGTTTGGTCTGTAGTACATGAAACATGCAGTACATGCAGCATGAAGACTCAGCTTCTCCAGAGCTGAGAGAGAGGATGTGATGATTTCCATTTGCTTCCTGACCTGTGGCTTTTGGTGTTACAGTCCACCTAAACCCAAACCCATTTTCTTCACCTCTGAGCCCGGTTTCTCTTCTTTAAACAGCAGCTCAAACTCTGTTTCTAACGTGAAGTGCTTGAGGTCTGCACAAAAGCGGTTCCGAGGGACAGCTCACTGCTGGTTTAGGATGTTTGTTGCTGTGATTTGCACTGGTTGGCAGGTGAGGGTTGGAGTGCCTGGGATTAGAGGAGGAAAAGGCTTCTGCTTCCTCTTAATCCTCTCAGAGCCCCTCTCTCCCTGGCAGGATTCTCTGTAATAGATGTAATTAGAGCAGCTGTAGCACAAACAGCACAGCTCTGCTGATCCAGGCTCTGTGTTTTCTTGGCTTCCTGAGGACAGATGTGATTTCCACATCCTGAAAAGAGCTGGTTGTCAAGTGAGATAGCCGGGGACATTGTCCAGTAGCTCCTGTGTCTATATAAAACCCCCCAGCAGCTCTCATCCACCACGCATGGGCTGGATTGTTCCAGAAGAGTTGGGAGTAAATCCTGTGCCTCAGCCTTTGTGGTGAATATAGAGAGGGACAATGGGAGAAAAGAAAATGGCTTCAGGTAGGAGGCTACATCCTTCCCTTGTCTCTATGTACTGCAGCTGCCAATTTGTCTTCCTGTGGAGGAAAGTCACATTTAAAGATGTGGATATTTGTGATGGATGGCTCCAAAGCTGGGAATTGGAAGAGTGTTGCTGGCATCTGCAAGCCACCAACTCTCAAGCTGTCACTGGAGACACATTAAATGGGTGTTTCCTTTGCATAGCAGCAGAGCGGGCTGGGGTTGGACCTCAGAACAGGGCAGAGTAACCTACCCAGTCAGTAAAATGAAGCAGAACGAGGAACTGGGAAATTGCCCTTAGCTGGGAATTACTTGGACTTGTCACAGTAGGCTATAGAGGCGAGGTGGAGGCTGTGTGTGTGGTTATTGGCAGATGATGAATGTGGCTTTGCTGCCACAAACATGATATCTAGGAATAGCGTTGGCTGCCTTTGTTCTGTGCCCGCTGCACTTCAGCAGCGTTTGTCGGGACCAGCATGGCTGTGTGCGCCCTTAGCACCAAGGCAGAGCCCACCACCCGCAGCTGTGTGCCCAGAGCTGATGGCTGCGAGTTCCTCATGTTTGGGTGGATCTCTCCATCTGCTCTCCGAGTTTTGGCACTGCCGCTTGCTCACGTGTCGCTCTCTGATGAGGTTGCTCAGGTTTAATTCAATAGACCGGGCTGTTTGTCAAGCTGCCATCAGAGCAGATGCTTTAGGAGGAGGGCGCGCTTTGTTTTCCCCTCTATGTCCACAGTGACCTTCAAAGTTGGAGAAGCACAGTGGCCCTATGCCAGGGAGAGAAAGCCCAGCCTGGCGTTGGCATTAAACTCAGCGGGGAGCAGGAGGAGAGAGGATTTCCCACTACTGTGACCTTCAGCGCCGCGTTAAACCCATCCGAGCCGGAGGTGCCAAGCAGGAGGATGCCCTCGGAGGGGCTGCGGGGCCGGGCGGAGGGAGGGAAGGAGGCGGCGGCCGCGCATGCCCGTGGCGGACCGTGCCCCCCGCCCGGGCTCAGGGGCTCCGCGCAGCCGTCGCGGTGCGAAGCAGCCGCCGCCGCCGCCACCTGCTGCTGCTCCGCGGCTCCGCCCCGGGCCCGGCTGCGGCTCTGCCCGCGGCACGGCCCTGTCCGTGGTGCTGCTGCTGCTGCTGCTGCTGCTGCCGCCGCCCGCATCCTGTTGCGCCGGGGCCACGGCTGGGAGCGGAGGAGCAGCGGCTTCCGAGGGAGCCTCTGCCCTGATGGGAACAATGGCTGCGCTGGCCAGGCTGCTCTGGGCGTCCTCGGTCGTGTTGGTGGTCTGGGGTAGGTGCTTTCGTTCTGTGCTGTCTGCTGTCTCGTAGGGTGCTGCTTCTCGTCACAACCCTTACCAACAGCTGCCTTCGAAGTGGCTTTTTGTATTTACCATAGGGATTCATGCAGAGTTGGTGTGAATGTAATGGAGTTAGTGCAAGCAGAGAAGATGCATGACTGCCAAGCAGACACAGGGCATGAAGCGTGTGCTTTAATATGCATGCAAGTTCTTTCCCGTTGCCTTGCTGCTGCTGTTGTGAAATTTGCAATGTAATTTAATGTTTGCTTACCCCAGGGTGTGCAATCTCTGGGGCAGTGCTCGTTTTCCATGCAGTGTGAGCTGGAGTAAATCAGTTTATTGCAATCACAGTTGTTCTCCTGCAAGCAGGAGAAGGTTGGTTTTGGCAGTACAGCCACATCTGATGAGCACGTAACCTACAGCTCCATGTGTGGGTGCTTAGCTCTGCGTGCAAAGCTAATTTAACCGGAGCAAAGCACGATCCAGGAGCTGCTTCCTTAGTTCTCCTAGAAAGCTGGCGCTACCCACGGAGCTGGTAGTCCGGGAGAATTGGAATCCCGCTATGTCCTGGGATAATACAGTGCTTGAGAGAGGGTTAATGGTATCTCAGAGCTGGGGAGGAGGGAGCAGGCAGCGAAGTCAGCACCTCAGTGAGCTGAACTCTGGGCTCCAGAGGCAGGATTGGACAGCAGAACACAGTATTATTTAGCCCAGGGGACAACTGTCAGCAGGGATTTAGTCTGAGACATGGAGCTGAAGCGTTTCTTTTCTTATCAAGTAGCTCCACAGACAATGATTTCTGTCTTGGTGTGAGCAGTATGTACAGTTGCCAGTGTGAGCACAGATCTCATTGGAAGCATTTGATCAGGAATGTGTGTAAAACCAGTAACTCCTCCTGCTGCCACCTTTACTCGGGTCCAAGCCCCTTGATTCCCTGTACTGCTTATGAAACCTAGAATGCTCCCACATTGCCAGGTGAAAACATCCAGCCCGTTTCACTGAGCACAATGAGCAAACTGTCCCTCCACACTTAAGTTCTGGGCTTTCTCTCCTACCAGACTGTAATTGCTGCTGGAGCAGGAGCATGCTCAGCATGCATGGAGAGAAGCAACAATGCCTCCAAAGTGGCATTAATTACTATGGGAAGGATTAAAGTTGTGGCAAAGCAGATGCTGGAGGGGTGAATCTGCGTGAAGTGATCACCCTCTGTTAATTATTATGAATTATTTATATCTCAGAAAAGGAAGGTTGGTAAAAATTGACATTTGAGACTTACCCGTTGTCAGACAGAGTTAGTAATGAATCCATTTGCCATTGGGGATGATGCGATGCTGAGATGTGGATAACGGACGTCTCTCTAACTCCATCTTACACTTCTTCTCTTGCTGCTCCTTCTCCCTAGCTGGTTTTTGTTCTGCAGTATGTGTTGAAGTTCCATCAGAGACAGAGGCAGTCCAAGGAACACACATGAAGCTGCTCTGCATCTCCTGCATGAAGAGGGAAGAGGTCACAGCCAGCACGGTGGTGGAATGGTTCTACAGGCCGGAGGGTGGAAAGGATGAACCTGTATGTATGCCTGGTAGCTGAGCCCTTGTGTCGTAGGTCTTACTGTGAAACACAGCCCAGGGAACTCATGTGGGAGAAGCCAAAAGGTATTTATGAGAGTGTAAGTTTCTCCTGTGGCCAAGATCCCTAAGGAAGGCTGTAAAGGGAAGGAGGGAGACCCAAATATGAGCAAAAGCTTTTACTCAAAGCCTGTAGACATGCCCAGCAAGGCTGCTTTCATAACATGGAGCAGAAACAAGCTTGTAAATCAGCTCTTAGCTGCAGATCTTCATTATTTCTGCAGCATGCTCAACCAGAAGTTCCACAGCACTGATTCTGAGCAGTGTCCTTTTCTTGCTGAGGTGACTTCCACTCTTGGGCACAGCACTGTGACACCAGAGGGTTCCATATGATAGGAAAAGCTAGAATCTGTGGTTGAGTTCAAACATTCAGGGTCATACATATATGAATGTGAATTTCCAGTTCTATCCCTTGAATAGATGAAGTCAAGCGTGTAAGCAAATCAATTAGGGAAATAGAAGTATGGAGTATACCCTTGGCTATATCTCCCTTCTTTGTACCCTTCTGAATCCTAAAGCTATTCTTTGAAGGTTAAATTGAACTCTGATAAATGTGCAGGACAGGATTCACTTTTTTGCCTCAGAAGGCGAAAAAGTCCCTGTTAGGAAAAGGTAAAGTTCGTTTTCAGAGGGAATCAAAGGGGGAATTGTAGAGATGAACAGCTGGAATTCAGGAAGGAATGGCAAATAGAGAGTAAGATAAAGGCTGAGGCCATGTTTGTTTCTAGCTATTTTACCTGAGTAAGAAGCATTAGATCAGTGGTTGCATTTCATCACAATTGAGCTGGGCCAGGCAAGAAGGCAGATACCCCCCTAGGGCCTGAGAGCTAAAGGGACCACACTGAGGAATGAGATGGGAATCCACTTTTAGTGACCTGGGTGACATATTTGCCAGTGTTAATACAAGGAATACCGATGAAAGTGAGCTGGGGTGGGCAGGGAAATGATGCGGCTGTGGTCAGTCCAAAACTTGGAAGGTATTAGAGCTACCAAAGCTCCATTCTTCTGATGCACCATTTCCATGCTGTCATTTTCATCCTGCATCACTTCCATTTCAGCTGAATACCTCAGGGCTTACCAAAAATGCCTGTTTGTCTTCACTGTATTTATTCCATGGTTCCTTCTTAAGATGATCTTAATGTGCAATGACTTGACAGGCTGGCACGTAGACTGCTTTGGTTTTAGTTTCATTGCTGATCTTCTGCGTTGTCCACATGTGACTTTTTCTCTGCCTTATTTTTAATACCTCTGTGATGGAGATAATTCAGTTTTCTGGCTTCCTCAAAGATTTTGGGGAAAAGGATGATGGAATATGAATAGCTGCTGTTACCAAGGAAGCCTTAGCCTGGAACGTACACGTGTGTAGCTCGAGGGTGGTGATGTTCCTTGCATATGCTGCGCTGTTGTCCGAGATACGAGTCAGTGATTAATCAGAAATACCCCTTCCCCACAGATCTACGAGTACAGGAAAACCAACCATGAGTTTCCAAGCCGCTTCAGTGGCCGGTTGCAGTGGAATGGGAGTAAAGACATGCAGGACGTCTCCATCACTGTGCTAAATGTGACCTTGAATGATTCGGGTATCTACACCTGTAACATCACCCGGGAGTTTGAGTTTGAGATTCACCGGCCTCTCTTCACAAGCTCCAGACTGATCCACCTCACCGTGGTGGAGGAGGGTACGAAGCATTGTGCCTTAACTCATCAGGCTTACCTCTATCCAAGGATAGAGCTTTTCATTGTGTTGTAGGAGAGGGGTGACTGAGCTGCCAGAGAATTATGCCTGTCTTTGCAGAAGCAAACACTGCACAGGGTTCAGGAGGAGAGACCTGTGTTTGTTTGCCGGCTGCAGCCTCTTCGTAGGCTCCGAGTGGTTGTGTGTGAATGTGGGAAGTTACAAGGATGCCTTTGCCTGGGTGTTTGATTCCACTGGAAGCAAGCAGTGGGATCCCTGCTGGTGTGTTCTGATGGCAGGATCTTGCCTGTTCCCTCTCTTTTGCCCCTTCATAGTGTAGTGGCAGATGGGTATTCCAGTTAAGGTGGGTTGGGAAGGATGGCACGAGGATGGGAATTGTCAGTGGAGCTGCCGTGCTCCAATCACTGCATGTAACTGATGGGAGATTATTTCATTTTCCTAACAGCTGGAGAAGACTTCACCTCGGTCATCTCTGAAATTATGATGTATATTCTGCTGGTCTTCCTGACCCTGTGGCTGCTGATAGAGATGGTCTATTGCTACAGGAAAGTCTCCAAGGCAGAGGAAGCTGCCCAAGAAAATGCGTAAGTGTGAGATCTATGTCTGCTCCCGACTGTACCAAAGAGCTTCTTACTGTGAGCATCTCCTGCAGGTGACACTTGTTACCTTAGAAATACTTACAGGCATTCAGTCTCTCTGTAAGGGTTGATGGACCCATGCTGTGGTCTGCACTGCAGCACTGAGGTTATGCTTTCCCCTTTCCCTCCAACTACAGGACAGACTATCTTGCGATTCCATCAGAAAACAAGGAAAACTGTGCCGTGCCTGTGGAGGAATAGCAGAGAGGAGTCAGCGAAATGAACGGCACCAAGGTAGGTGATGAGGAAACAGTCTGCTTGTGTCTCAGCCTTTCAGACTTACTACAGCTGGTTACATATGTGTGGAGCTGGAGAAAAGGTGAATGGGAGACTCCTGCAGTCTGGTTGTGCTCCTTCCCTGGAGCTTCCCCAGTGACACTGGAAGCAATAAAAGTATCTAGTTGGTGGGTGTACTAGTATTACTTCAAACCCTGAACCAACATGTTAGCTTTCAGGCCATGGTTTAATTACTCCTCTTTTGCTCATTCCTGTTGAACGGGGAATAGTCACTATCCCCTGTGGATGCTGAGCTGCACTCAGAGATATGTAAGAGCGCTATCTCCAATGGAAGCATCTGCTAGGAAGGACTTTGTGGGAAAAGACCAAACTCTAGAACTTTTAAAGTCTTGTGCTGCTAGTTACCGTGCTAACTGTATCACGATCCTCACTTCTATAAGGTCAAATGACTCGTGCTCCAGGAGGATTTCTCTCCCTTGCAGGGGCTCTGAAGACAGAAGGACCGCATCATGCCAGCCAGGTTTGAGGGGGAGCTCTGCGCCGTCGGGAGGAGATACGGGGAAGTGTACATTCTCTTCCATTTGCCTTGGACTCTGTACAGCCTTGACTTTGGCCTCATGACTCCATTCTGAGCTGCCAGCCCATTTGCTAAAGGACTCTTCTTTTGAAGCATGCTGAGCAAAGGGCACAGGGGTGTGGGCAGCACGGCTCCTTCCCAAGTTTCTGTTCCATCATCACGTTAATGGCTTTGTAAATGTCAAGTGTCATTTCTTAGCTGCTGTCACCACCACCTTTATTTGCTGACTATGCTAGTTCTCCATTGCAGAGATAAAGGGTATGTATGTCATGATACTCTGACCCATAAGACTGGGAATGAGGTCATCTTAGGGTGATGTTCCACCATGTCTTACAGCCCAAGTAGTCTTATTGGTGTTAAAACAGGAAGAATTTAATTAAGTAGTTGTTGCTTGGCAAGTTGCTCTGGACTTCGGGCTGCCCTTGCACAGGCAGGGTAGGTTGAGGATTGTGATGGTGTAAGAATGAGTCCCCCTGTGCCCTGTTCATGCTTGCTCTTGGAGGAGGGAACTGAGACTGTAGATCCTGAAGTACCCCTGCTTCAGGAAGCAGTACTACGTAAGTATAAGAATCCCCTGTATCCCCCCCTTTTCATTTAGCAAGCATCAAAAGTCTTAGTTCTTTCCTTTTGCCTTGCATAGCAGGTTTATTCCTCAAGTGCACAGAGACACAGGGATAGGAATAACCTGCGGAGCCACGTTCTGCAACAACAGGCAAGTAGGCAAAGTCAATAGGATGCACAGCCCTCACAGGAAAGCTTTGTAAAATGGTAGTGCTGTTAGTAACTGATGGTCTCCTTATTCTATAGTGCAGCACCACCTAGAGGAATAGGCATCACATGCTGATTTTTTCCTAGTTAATAGTATTTCTTGCTTGTGACAGCCACTGGTTTGAGTAGTTGGCATTCATTGTAAGTGATCCACTGCTGCACGGGATTCCCACTGTATGTTCAATGTTTCCCATGCAACCTTACCTTTTTAGTTGTAGCCGCTGTTTCTGGCCTCAGGTGTAATCGGTCAAGCTCAACAACTAGGATTAAAAAGAAGGAATAAGGCAGAAACTGGCCAGGGTGGAATTGTACCTTAAGACCAAATGGGGAAGGTTTATTTTTGCATCTAGCAGACGTTGTTACATCCCTGCTGCAATGGAGCCTCTACTGCTTGCAAGAGTTGACAAATTCTGCTACACTGACCGCTTCTAAATAGTTCCCAAGTGCTTGTGAATCCAGGCATGCTTCCCACGTATGGAATTTCCCCTGCTTTGTTCTGCTGCTTTTTGTGTGTTGCTGAAATCACAGAAATTACTCCGTTTGTAAGTCAGGCCCGGGCCAGATTTCCAACTGGCAGGCATTCAAAATTCCTTTTTTGGAATGGGTGTTACCTTGAGTAAACCACCACAGCACAGCTTCCGCCGTAGGATCGCTCTCGAGTCCAGAGCCGAGCCTGGCAACGTGAGCCCGTTATTCCAGACACTTGCAGTCTGGAAACGCACTTGCTCCTTCGAACCGAGTAGCCTAAAGGGGGGGAAAAGCAGCTCCTTGTTCAGCTGCATGTCTTCATTTCGGGCATAATCCTAACTCGAAACCCACAGCACCAGAGGAGGGACTAGATGGTAACTCCGGAGTATCTGTCACTGACCACAGCATTGACGCCCGCGGTGATTTTTAGGTAAGGCCATGTAACCTCTCTCCCACTTTAGCTCTGCTCCTCAACCCCCTGAAGCATTGGTAACCCTCTGGTGTCATAATACAAACTGAAATAAGGGACAAACAAGAACATGGTGAGAGCTACCTCAGGTGGTAAAGAAGGGCCATCCTCTAGTCCTGCACCTTCGGTATCTTACAACGCATCTTAAGATGCTTTTTCTTGGACATATCTTTCACTTTTCCAGTTCCTGCAGACAGATATCGTCCTGTGTTGTTCTAGGCAGGAGAAAATGGTGTGTAAATATGGCAAAAAAGGAACAAAAGTGATTTTTCAGGGGTGGTGGTGCTGGACGAGATGGTCCTGTTTGGTGTCCGAAAAGACCCTCTCTGTACTTGGAAATGACAGAACAGACTTCAGAACAGGCAGGATAATAAAGAGAACAAAGCACTCATGAGTCGCACTGCTTGTTTTGATAGATTTTGTTTTAATTTATACTGTACTTCCATTGTACTAGCTACTTTACATTAAGGTTTGGCTGCACAGCCTTTACAACTCCTAGGTTCTAGCAGGTAAGTTTCATTATCATTTTACCGCGTTCTTGCGCACAGCGCAAAGTTTATGACAGTTAGACAACTCCTAAAACAAAACCACAGGGTGTCCCCCCCACCCCAGAGTTCATCGTAGTGCTACAGGCCCTAGCCAACAGCCCCCCACCTCCTGGGCTCAGGGGGAACCCCATAAGGGGTGATTGTACCCCTCATTCCGTGCCGATGGGATGCGATCCCCGTGAAGTCGCAGTTACGCACAGTAGTTGGGTTGCGGTATCCAGCGCCTCAGGTGGGGAGAACGTGCTCCCAGGTTTATAGCAGCTTTACCCAGGCCCTGGAACACGCGGTGGGAGAAGGATGCCACCAGCATGGTCACATCCCCGAGGTGCCACAGCCCCGTCATGCCACTCCTTGTAACGCTGCAATGGCTCTGCTGCTTCTCCCTCTGCCCCGACCAAGAGCCAGGTTAGTGCTACTGTATCTGCTCCATTAAGTGCTGTCACGATGGAGGTGGGCTTGTGAGGACAGGGAGCAAGGCGCGGGTGGCACAAACTCCACCTCTTTGCAGGATAAAGATGCTGTTTTGTAACAGACGCTCTCCCAAATCCCAAATCCGGGGCAGATTGGGGCCGAAACTGAGACACAACCAAATGGCTCTAGGACCTGAGCTGCACATTACTTTTATTCCCTAACTATTCTGGGAGTTTGGGTTGGGGAAGGTGGCCATTGAACATTAGCAATGGAATTGGCCTAAATGAGTGAGGTAACAGAAACGGCCAGAGGAGGTACCTCCCTGAGCCATGTGCAAATATAATTCCTTCAGCAGAAGGAAGTCCTTTTCCCTACTGAACAAAAATAAACCACATTCACATAAAGAGCATACAGACTGTAGCAAGGGAAGGCAAGCAGGGACAGCACCAGGTCAGTCCATCTGTGACACAGGGAATGATTGTCCAGCAGCAAAGATGTGAAGGGAGAGGGAAAAGCCATAGCAAGCACTGCAGAACGTGTGTAGGAGAGGAGGGCATGGCACGTAACCATGCTGAGGAAAGCCCATGCTGTCTGGCTAGACGGGAAATAATCTCAGTCAAGACACGAGGAGATTATTTGGCCAGTGTGCACATCTAGAATAAGGTATTATGGCACAGAGAGACTCATGCTGTGGAGAGCAGAGCATGCCAGGCAGCGGGAATGGATCCTCTTGGGAACTATACGGACATGAATGTTCTGTTAGCCACTTACCTCAGGTGCTTTGGTTTAAGAGTCTGTTTCAATATTGTTCTAAGCAAGCCCCTGCCGGGTGTTTAGTGCTGAGACTGAAAAGACTAAGCCAGAGTCCACCTGACTGTGCTATGATGAGTGGCAGTGAGCCTGGCAGCGATCCCATTGGAAAGCTCTCAGGAGTCCATCAGGAAGCGCTGGTCTGTGGGATGGCAGCAGCTGCCTCGACAACCGTGCTGGAATCACCTCCCCTGAGCCAGTCAAAGTGTGTGATACTGACTGTGCTTCACATGCTGTGGAAGTCCCACCTCTAAATTAGGAAGGGGTTCACTTCCATCCTTGGTGGGAGAAGCGGATGCTGACTGATAGAGCCCTACATGGTTAAAACGGCCAGTTCAGCACAGAAACACTGCAAGAGAAGCCCTCCAAGGTGTAGCAGCTCTGCACTGATTGCTCACTGTGTTTTAGCCTCCTCCTGCATGGGCTGGCTGTAGTACGATGGGCACTGACCTTCAGAGAGGGGTTTTTCATTGGCCTTAACTCGCATCCTGGCTTTCTGCTCTTTCAAGGTCATGCTTCTACTAAAGGCATGTTGCGTCTCTCTTCAGTTTCCCTTTATTAGATCTGAAGCAGACAGGCGGGGCCAGGCAGGCAGACAGCAGGCTGTGTGTAAAAGCATACTCTATGGCAGCAGCGTAACTGAGGTATGTTAGGGGAGATCAAAGTTGTGTGACCTTTTTCTCTTCTCCCAAAGGACTTCAGGCAGCCAGAAAGGATTTATGCAGAAGTTAGTATCAGTTAATATTGATTGATACTGAGGTTTTCTGCCTTGGATTACTGATTAGTTGTTGAGCACCAGGTCATTGGTGCATGGTTACCCATTTAACTCATAGCTCACTTCTACTCTTACCACTGCAGGTACCTTTCTCTCTCAAGCTGAATGTGCAAACCCAGCAATGACCCTGTCCTGGGGATGCTACAGTTTAGTATCTGGTTTATGAATGCATAGCAGTTATCCAGGTCTCAAATTCACTTTGAGCTCGTCCCAGATGCCATAACCCAAACACCCCTTTTAAGGTAAGCACTGAAGGCATGTATTTAACAAGCAAGCTAGGATTAGCAGGTATATTCTCCCAGATATACACAAACTGGCACATCAGAGCCTTGTGTCTCCTTACTCCCTCCTCCCAGTAGGTAGCATCTTACTCAGCCAGAATTAGGCTACGAGCTGTTGGCATCAGGCTGCAGGTTTGGCTGGAGAAATGCTCTGCTAGAAATCCTTTCTATAGCTTTTCAGATGCTGCAAACCAAACCCCAGCTGCGCTCACCTGGCAGATTGGCAGCAGCAGCAGGGTCAGGGGGAGCACTCAGCAGGAAACACGGCTGCGAGGAGCTATTCAAAGCACTGCCATTGACGTGGGATTTCTGGCACAGGTAAGCAAGTAAAGATGTGAAGCCCTGACAATGGAAACCCTCGGCTGTGACTGTGTAGGGAATGTGGAAGTAACACTGTTAAGGTTGCTCTGCCTTGCTCCTAGAAAGCATTGCTGATTTCTCCAGGAAACAGCATCATAAACTGACTGGTCCAACGTTTTCTATGGCTGCAAAAGGAATTAATCTGTCAACTGGGACTCAGCTGCAATAGCAGGTGAATCCTGTCACAGCTCGAGGCAGGAAGGCATCTAGGTGAAAAAATGCCAAGGTTTTCTTTAAGCTCTCACTTTTAGTGCCATTATGGGGTTAGCCTTAAGAAAAAGGCCTTGGTTTTTTCTCTTTTATTACTCTTGTGATAAATTAAGAGGCAATAAAATGTTATGAATCCTGTCCAACTGCAAGCCTGACTTGGTGCCAAGTGGCAAAAAGACAGTAAATAACTAGGAAGAGAAACCTTCCTTGGTCTGAAGGTCGCTGCATGTACAAGATCTGTTTGGTGATGGCCACCCTTGTGCTGTTTATTGAAGGATTTAACACAGCTTTGTGTCAGGATATGGACCAAACGTGTTAAACTCAGTTTAAAGCAATGTGCAGGCAGAATGAGTGTTAGTGTTTGAGAATGCTATAGTGAAGTGTGGGACTAAATGGGGAAACGGGACTTCTTGGCCAGTGTGTCAAGTCATAGTGGGGAATTGGGGCCCTCCTATCCCAAGATGAGCCACAGAACACACTAGCACCTCAGTTTCATTGTACAGTAGCCATTTCAGCAGCCTCCCTGGAACAAAGTCAGGGAGGAACAAAGTACAGTAGTCAGCAGCATTAAATTAAATAAATAGTCATAAATACACACTACTCTCTAGTTGCTGAGGCATGTTTTCCCCAATTGTACCTTGCTTTCACACTCGCAGATGTCTCTTTTATAACCCGTGTTCATCTGTGTTCATCTGTGCTTCTTCAAATGTGAGTCTCCTGTGGGTTATGTTGTGTTGTGAAAACTATAGGCAGGGTGGGAGAAATCAGTGGGTTATGTGGATGTGCATTGGAATGTGGGAGCTTGGGGGGGTTTTCCTTGGACTCCATGAGGATAAGATACAAGGAGCAGTTACTCACCCTTTTGTCCCCTGCTCTTGCAGCACCCATTGGAGCTAGAGACAGCAGACAAGCTACAGCTGCACTGTTTGCATACAGGGGAAGACGCAGCTGACTCCCTCCTGCCATTCAGAAGGTGGGAAAATCCTGGTGTTGAACAAGGTGGACACTGAGGACCTCACGTGTCACCTAATCTACGTGGCTGGGTAAGATGAAAAAGCACTGATTAAACATTCAGACAAGCATCCTGTATCCCAGGCAGTCACAGTGGGTTTGGGTACAGTCTTGCTGCCCCTCTTCCTCATTTGCCTGCTAACAGGAGTCCAGAATTATCCCCTAGAACAAGTGAAAAATCCGTATTTAATGGATTTTCATGTCTTTTTAATGCGGCTCTACCACCTGACTTGCTTAGAGAGGTAGAGCCTCACTATCCAGCTTACAAAGGATACCAGTCAGATACCTTACACCACAGATACCCTCCAGATCTATCCCTGCCATCCCCTGATGGTCCCTTTTTTCTTTCCTTTTTTTGGTCCCCGTGACCCTTCCTAACCTCTCCTGGACTTTCAGAGCCCTTGTTTCTA